TCTCTCTCTCTCTCTCTCTCTCTCTCTCTCTCTCTCTCTCTTTCTCTCTCTCTCTCTCTCTCTATCTCTGGATGGAAATATTGCTGGACTTACTATTGCTTGAGCAACAGACGACAATTATTTATTCCACCTTATCGTCGCTTTCGCAAGCAATTCCCTTGATAAGTCAAAAATTTTGAGAACATTCGATTCTTACACCCTCCCAAAGCTCCATCAAAGATTCACATTTTAACATCACCTACGCACGAAAAAGTGCAATTTAACCCCTCCACTACCAGGCCCAAGAATTGAGTAGTGGAGCAGGCCGGGAGTAAAAACCCATTCCCTGCGTTTCAGAAATCCCAGTCTAAAGAAAAATAAAATAAATTAAAATACATGTTTAGCTTTAGTAAGGGTTCTATGGTACTTACGACGTAAATAGGTCATACTATTTATATTAAAAGTTCGGAAGATGAGAAGTGTTTCAATAAAGTAACCCAATTCTTTCGTGTTTGGCTCGTTCTGCTCTACCGCGGGTATAGCGATCCGTCTACTTAACCAATCTGGGTCGCTTTCTCATAATAAGCCGATTATGTCAGGAGGTTCTCAGATCTCATAGGCTCTTCAGGTCGGCGGTTACTGGCTACGCATGGACGGCCTGTAAAACATGAAGGTGTATTATTTTGGCTAAATCAGCATAATCATTATCTTCTCTTTGACGCAATGCACACGTTTAATCAGTCAATTGTTTAGACCTACATAATATATTATGGAGCGGGTGTTTTTTTTTCCCTCTTTTTTTTGGGGGGGGGGGGTGTAAGCTGATGAAGCGAAGTCCTAAATGACTTTGAAATAAGCTGCAAAGTAAATAAAACACGACACACAATAAAGTGATGGTTAAAATCAATAATTACTGTGATATCATAAACTCCGAGACTTCTCCGTAAACAGCGAAAATAATAATACACGTATTTCTCAAAATATTTTAGTCCTACATCTAAAATAAGATATCCTCTGTTTTAATAAAGTCAGACCAGTATTCTCTTTAATGATTAACTAATGGCTTTTTCACCATCACCACCACCACCGCCATTGTAAATAGCAAGAAATAAAAAAGGGCGGAGACTTGTAGAATTTCCAAATTTTATAAATGTTCAACGTTTCGCCCGGTACAGGGCTTCATCAGGAACATACAAAAAATAATGTAAGATCTAAGGACTACAAGCTAGGGTAACAAAGGTGCGCGCATCTGCGTCATTATGCCCAACTGTGCGATAAAAACAAACCGGGAAGACAGGAGAAAAAGGGGAAGGGGGGGGGGGGGGTATGGCAAGAAGTGGTATGGCTATAAAATATTGTGTACGTCAAATCATATATTATCATTAATATTAACATAAAGGTAATTATTATTATTAGTAGCAGTAGTCGTAGCAACAGCAGTAGGAGCAGCAGCAGCAGCAGCAGTAGTAGTCGTGTAAGTCGCAGTAGTAGTAGTAGTAGTAGTAGTAGTAGTAGTAGTAGTAGTAGTAGTAGTAGTAGTAGTAGTAGTAGTAGTAGTAGTAGTAGTAGGTAGGCCTACAATTTTGTAGTAGTAATAGTAGGCCTACAATGTAGTAGTAGTAGAGTGGAGGCGGTAGTCCGCGCTACCCAAAGCTGAAAAAGCCACTTTGTCGGGCCCCGGTCAGAGGGGAGGTAACCCCACAATAACTGATGAGAAGCAAATTTTGTCTGCTATCGTTGTCCCAGCGTGCTATGCCTGCTTCTTTTGCCCTTCTCCCCCCAGTAGTGGAATTTGTGTGGCAAAGTGAGGGCGGGTGTGTGAGACAATCAGCGGGGATGCGCGTTCCTGCAGGAGGGTTACGCGTTTTATGGAGGCGCTGCGCGCTAGGATATGGCGGGTCTTGCAACATGCCCTAATAACTTCTTATTATGAATCTTATAGGGTAACGTATGATTTTCTAATCACAAAGGAGGAAAGGTTCTTACAAATTACAAAAGAGTTAGTTTTAAAAGTGACGCTCAATTTTTTGGTACAGCCAAAATAGAAAGAAAACAAAAAATAACCGAAGCCAACACTTAGAATGTAAACAGTAATCTTTAGTGACTGTAACTGTAGATAACTCTGAAAATCATGAATTAAGTGATATAAGAAAAGCAAAGTAGATCTACCTGTAGATCTAAGTGCATATGGATAAACAAAGATATTGTTCACATTATTTGTGTGACACAAATTGGGATGGGGAGATTCGTCAACACAGCAAAAGAACACCATGTTCACGGCATGCAGGTCTTCCTGAGTCAAATTGTCCTTCAGGTCCATCTGTTTGACACAGTTGGTGTGCCACCACTTGTCACAAAGTATGCACTTGTCTTGAAGGTGGTGGCTCAACACCCAGCTCAGTCAACCGTAATGTCCTGACAATCATCGGAGCTGTCGTCATACACCGGCTCTTCTCCCGAGAAAGAGGGATCTTCGTCCTCTTTTTTCTTCTGTGATGCCACAACCAAAGCGTTCACCTTCTTATCCTGAATTCTTCTCTTCTCCTCCTCCTCTTTCTCCTTCTCTGCCTGCTCTCTTTGTTTTTTCTTCCCTTTTTGGCGTTCCTACTCGTCTTCAAAAAAATTTTTTTTTTTTTAAATTGAGTGTTTAGTAATTACAACAATTCATCATACTCATTTAGTACCTCTACTCTTCTCCCCCAAGCTCCTCTTTTCGTCTAAGCCCATTTCACATTTTCTCGGTATTTGAAGTACAATTTGGGAGCTCTCGTGGCCTAGAGGTTAAACTGTTCGCCTCTCTTTCAATAGGTCCCAGGTTCGAATCCGGATAGCGCCTTTCACATCCTTTCCTGCTTTCTAACAATGTTCTGCCGTCTGCTTTCGTCTCCACTTCCTGCTCCCACCCGTCACCTCCTTTGCCCGTCCCCTGAGTTCATGACTCTTTTTGAAGCCTCTCTACTGCTACTCTTTCGCTCCATCTTACAGCTGTCTTTCAGCCACACACTTGATCTTCTTATAGGAAAATTCCACACCTAGCCTTCTCGGACAAAGAAAGAATAATCCTGGAGGTCCTTGGTGCAAGTTGTGCACGTTAAAGATCCCTTGGTGGTCCAAAATCGATAAGAGTAGGCTTCGGCCGCCACCGGGGCAAAATTCAAAATTTTCTACCCACTTAAAATGTTTAATGTGTCCTGCGTGCTCATTTGACCTTATGCAGTTGCGAGCGCCGTAAAACACTCAACCCCCAACCCCCCCCCCCCCAATAAAAAATTACTAGGCCTATTTGTAAAGTAGTGATTGTCCCATGGACTTCTTGCACACACACACACACACAACACACACACACACACACACACACACACACACTCACACACACACACACACACACGCGCGCGCGCGCACACACACACACACACACACACACTCGCACGTGCACACACTCTCAATAAACACAAAAATACACTCAGGCAGGTGCCTGTGCACTTACAGAACACACAGAAGAAGGTAGGCCTATAGGCTATATATCTTGATCAGTAGCTCGAGATCTGACATTTATTATTTTCTTTTTCTTTTTTAGTCTTGGAGAAAAACCCCGCTGATTATTTAAGGAAGCCCACTCTTCAAAATAGGAATAACGGCATGAGTTCAGTTGGTACCAAGGAGTTTACAGTTCTAAACTCCTTGGTTGGTACCAAAATAATCAGTCATACTGGACTGCAATGGTGTGAGGCGCACGAGTATTCGTTGATTGGAGCTGCGAGAAGTATTTTCGTCAGTGTTTGCCCTCTTGCCTTGCATTTCTGTCTTAGATAAAAGTTTAACTGGAGGATAGAATTAACATGATAAATAATATTATAATTTATTATCATTGTATGTGTTGAAAGGGGCGTTAAGCCATCCCATACAGTTTTCCAAAATATTGAATCATTTCCCTCTATACAGATTTTTTTACTTATTTATCAGCGCTCTTCGTGCGAAGAAACCCCTTTAGTTCCGTATACCGGATGTTTGGGTTCCTTGGAAACAAAATGGCCGCACCATGGCTTTTGAATGCAGTGGTGTCCGATTAACAGAGTTTTCCTATGTTATCCATTTTTACTCTCAGTCGGGTAGTCAATAGTGAAGTTATTGCTGGAATGAAATGAATAGGTGGGTGTTTACATTTTCATGTGATGTTTTATTTCGAAATCAGTGTAAATGAGTTCGCTCGGTTGAGGAAAATGTCGAGCGAGGGCCATTTCATTTAAAGGCAAAGGAGCTGGTAAATTGGAAGGAGTGATTGAATATGTATATGAACAACATGACATTGCACTCTGACTTATTGTGCAAGTCTAAAAGTAAAACATAAGATCTAGATCTAGATCTAGACATGTGAGTCTTCTATTCCTGTGGAAATCTAAACATGTTCATTGTTGAAAATGATCAGCAGAAGATTAATTTCATTATGCCGCCTTATCAGCACATTTTCAGTTTTAGATTAGATCTAGAATCTAGATCTAGATATTAGATCTAGATCTAGACTAGATATGAATCTAGATCTAGAATCTAGATATAGAATCTAGATATTAAATAGACCTACTTTACACACTTCTCTACAAAATCTACCCTATAATGTGATAACCTGATACTAATACAAATCATCGTCAAAAGGCTGTAGTTATTCGCACATCACAGGGTATGTGAATACTATGGAATTGTATTCGCACAGGGTGTGTGAATACTATGGAATTTTATTCGCACAAGGTGTGTGAATACTGTGTGAATATTGTGAAATTCTATTCGCACAGGGTGTGTGAATACTGTGTGAATACTAGAAATGTTATTCGCACAGGGTGTGTGAATACTATGAATACTACAAAATATTATTGGCACAGGGTGTCTCAAAAGAAGGATGGAAATTATCTAGATCTAGCATTTCCTAATTTTTCCCTTTTTCATCCTCTTTCGCGTAGGGACAAAGATAGATCTAAAAATCTAGGCTAGAATCTAGAGTCTCTAGAAATTTAGATCTAATTCTAATTGTGCAATGCGATATAAAAAAAAACCTCCAACTCAAATTGGAATTCAAGTTGTGTATTGTGTCAATGATAATGACTCCACTCCAATCTCTCTTTTTTCTGTTTTCCTTGCGCTACAGAGAGAGCGAGAGAGAGAGAGCGAGAGAGAGAGAGAGAGAGAGAGAGAGAGAGAGAGAGAGAGAGAGAGAGAGAAAGAGAGAGAGAGAGAGAGAGTGAGAGAGAGATAGAGAGAGAGAGAGGGAGAGAGAGAGAAAGAGAGAGAGAGAGAGAGAGAGAGAGAGAAATATGAGTGCATGTTTACTTTAACCCTAAATCTGAAACAAGTTATACTAGATCTAGATCTAAATCTAGATATAATCTAGATCTAGTGTCCAGTTGTTTTAATATCTAAAGCCTTTGCCAAAAGGTGGGATACCCGGGTGTGACAAACGAGGTCCAAAATCAACGTTGGCTCGACCCTGTGCGAATAAAATTATTTCTTATTTGCACACCCGGTGTGAATAATATTAATTCTTATGCGCTCACCCGGTGTGAATAAAATGAAATCTTATGCGCACACCCGGTGTGAATAATCACTTCCAATACAAATACTTGATTCCTAGATTCTCAGATGGCTGAAGAATGAGCATGGGTAATATATATATGTTGGTAGATTTCTCTCTCTCTCTATATATATATAGTTACCCCCCCCCCACCCCCTCCCTTGTTCAAATGAACAAGCTTTAAGATGATATACCAATAATTCCAGATGCCCAAAAACTGACCAGAGCCTGATTCACAATTTCTAATGCCTTCAACCAACAATTTCAGGACCATGCCAAGTGAACATGGGACAGTTTATTCTGACAGCATTGGCTTTGACCATCAGTTCGGGGGACCGGCACCACACTCTGGTAGACCGTCCAGCGCGCTGAACAACTCAAACAGTCACAACCTGAGATGGGGACACCGGCCTAAGTGAGTTGAAAAGTTTGGTACTGTTTCCCTTTTGGTTTCTTACTCATGCAGTTCCTTTCCTTCTCTATGGGTGGTTGGCGGATGCTTTGATGTGGTTTGATTCTTCTTTCCTGTCAAAGATCTCTCTTCCTTATCTCTCCTCCTTTTTTAACATACTGTTTCCCTTTTTTTTCTTTTGGTTTCTTACTTACTTACTTACTCACTCTCTCCCTATACTGTCAGGTACATAAGACGGAGAACATTCGAGGCTACACTTGCCTGTTCCTGGCCACATCCTCCAATTTTGGCAAATCCAGGCCCTTTGGTTTCTTACTCAGTACTTTACCTTCTCTATGGGTGGTTAGCAGATGCTCTGGTGTGGTTTGCTTCTTCTTTCCTAGCAAACATCTGTATTCCTTATCTGACCTCCTTTAAAAAAATGTTTACTGTTACTTTCTTGTAACACCTCTAATCTTGTTACTCTTTTGTAACACCATTAAATTTCTGCTTGTGGGCTTTTTTTTTTTGCTTGTCATTTGCCCCTTAGCTTTTCCATAAACTTCCTCTTTCTTCCTATTTTTTGTCTTAACCCTTTCTTCCTCTTCTTAAAAATGTACTTTACAATGGGAAAACAATCATGTAATGACTTGTTTAACTTATAATCTCCGGCAAGTCATTCTCAGCGGCTCGCTGTCAGAACCCTTGAGCCGGTGAGTTGCTGACAGCGGCTCGGACACATTTCTTTAAGACGACTTTGACATCAAATTACTTTTCGAAAATTGTCGAAAATGGGTTTCTTATATCGGGATTTCATTTACTAGATGAATTATCAAAAAAGGTTCACTGGTTTTGATTTAATTACCAATTTAGTGGCGCTTTCCTTTAGATTCAGTACCGAAAAAGGGCCCCGTCAAAGTGGGTTTACCCCCCCTTGGAGATAAAGAGTTAATGAGCAACTGGTAAATCTTACTTCTTTTCCATCCCTTTCTAATTTCTGTCTGCCTGTCCTGTTGTGATCCCTCTCTCAGAACTGTTGTGTTCAATGGTTGACGCGGCTATGAGTGATTTAAAATCTTTTCAACCCTCTCAAGAAGTGAATCGAAATTAAAATTGGAATTTTTGCTATCATGAGATAGAGTCCGAAGTTCGCAACTTTAAATTAAAAGATATGAATTTAAGTTCCTTTTGATTGTGAAATTGGTATGAGAATAGGCCCTGTAGGCAACCCACTTTACAATACTATGATTATAAGCACAGAAAGGTATAGCTTTAATTTTCAAAAATCATTCGTTACGTTTATAGTTGTGAACTTTTGCAGGTTTCCAAATAGATACAATTTATTTAGGAATTTCTTTTTAACAACAACAGCAACAATGACAACAACAACAACAACAGTAACGACGACAACAACAACAACAACAGCAACAACAACAGCAACAACAACAACAAAGAACAATTACAACAAACAAATAAGAAAAGCCCCCACTTCATTTCATGCAAGTTTTCTTTTGGTGATTGTTATGAATAGAAGAAAAGCTAGAGCACTCAACATATGCTCACATTTTGAGAATAGTTCACATATATATACACACACACACACAAACACACATGTTAACTTTATATAATTTACATTATTATATTATTATTATAATAAACAACTAAGAAAATTGAAGCCTTTTGTCAGTGAATCGGAAGGCCTTGTTGTCGACGGGAGACAAACGAACATTCTAGTCTAGTATCATCAGTTACAGGGTTATGTACCTTTTCAGCTGTTTCCGGCCTTGAGGACGAGGCATCGGTCGAATCTCACATAAAATATGAAGGCAATCAAATTAAATGGTTCTTGAATTGAATAAATACTGAATATTGTGACCATAAATAGAAAAAAATAAATAAGAGACATTAATCAGTGCCAGGAAATAATATGAGCTACAACGGAATGTGACAAACACAGAAGGTTTTTCCAAATAATTTGCTCATGATTCCATGATTAGTTACATAGTCATAGTTCATGCAACTCTTACAAAACACATTCAAAATACAGCTCTGTGTGGGCGAGGGGGTATATTATACAGTCAGCTATCTTCTCCACAGAGCCCCCACCCCTCTACCCGACAATCACCCACACTTCTACCAAATGATACAATGTATTTTATATAATATATGTATACTATATTTGTATACATTATATACACCTGCAAATTCGCCCTCATGGGGTGGCGCCATTGTCCCTTACACATTCTGTCCCATATCCTGCCTTTTTTCTTGCGGGTCTGACCACTGAAAGTCAGGTCTAGCTGCCCCCCTCCCTCCCCAACACACACACTTTTCCGTCAAAAAAAGAAATGAATTAAAACAACAAAAAAATAAAATAAAAATCGAAGAATATAACCCCCCCGCGGGGGGGGGGGGGGGGTGGTGTCACTGACTGAAGTGTCTTTAGGCCATTTCCAAAGGGGGGACATTTCTCGTCCATGCACAGTAGAATTTGTAAATGAGCTGATTCATCAATGTCACGCTCAAAACTGTGTCTGATCTACAACAGGGAACTGCTTCTTTTTCTTTCCTAATCCTTACTATTGTCATTTTCCCTCAACTTCTTTTGTATGTTTGTCACACTCTTGTGACCCACTGTTACCGGGGTGCCTTGATAGTCGAAGCAGACTTTGTGCTGTTGAAGCTAGAGATGTGACCAGAGTAGGTCTGATTCCCTGTAAGGACTCTTCTGTTGACATCCACCCTTAGCGCTCATATGACCTAATGCAGTTGCGAGCACCGCAAAAACTCTACTAAAACTGAACTGAAGAATAGAAATGAAAAAGACAAGATGTTGTTGTTGTTGTTTTCAAATCCCTTTAGCTGCGAGCATTTCGCTCTTGGCAGCGCAATGCCTCCTTCAAGTAACCACAGTCCTAAAAGACAAGATAAAAAAATTAACGTATTGTACAAAAACCTCTAGGAGGCCCAACGTCGTTGTGACCTATATGGATAGTACTTTCGAGCTGCACTCTTCTAGCAGGAAAATTAGCGGACACCCCCCC